GTCCATAAGAAATACACACTAAGCAGAGACGTTGATGTTGCGCGAAAGAGGAGAGATAAAGGAGAAACGCAAAACTAGTTTTGTGGGCGTGGTCAAAACCGGTATGGATGAAACCGGCAAGTTCATACTACTAAAATTGCGTTTTAGTTTGCTAAAACCGCCTGTAGTTACAGATGTTATCAAAGAAAAGCAACAAACCGCAATTAAAAATTATAAAGGAAATCGTAACGTAAATTTTTCGGTAGGACAAAAAGTCTATGTAAGAGATTATCGAAACCCAAACAAAGCAAGTTGGTCACAAGCTACTATTAAAAATAAAATGGGACCACGTAATTACACCTATTTGTTACTCCGTGAAAAACGTGACATTGAACGTCATGTAGATCAGATCAGAGATGGTGAAACTGATGATATGGGGGGAGATGAGTTGCCTCTGGAACAAAATGGTTCGCAAGGTTCTGAGCAGGCACATGATGCAGCAACAAATGAAATTGATTTGCCCTCTGACACAGCCGGTGACTTCAGTGACCTTTCTTTTGTGAGTTCTCATTCACAAGAAGAAAATGAATTGGAAGAATTCATTCCCGACGTCATCGAACGACCAGCAACCCGTCGTGTTGCCACACAAGCGAAAGAAAAGATCAAAGACTTTTACACGTCAAACCGTCGTGGCTAACGTCGTGGTTCAGTGCTGAATGTACAGCAACACACATGAAACACTATTTTTTTATCATGCAATTCATTCATAAAATAAGAAGAAAACATTTTACTTTTCCGTACACAACGTGTCAAGGGAAAGTATAGGAATTGGTCCCGAAAACTTTTTTCGCAAAATTAGCTTGGATCATCATAAAAACTCATGAAACGCGTCGAAAACCACTTTTTGAGACACTTTTCCGTTCGTGTGCCGTCGTCGTTGTCGTTGTCGTTGTCGTCGTTGTCGTAGCTGTTTGTAAACACGATAACTCAAAAAATAATTGAGATAATCAAAATCTAGAAACGCCAAAAGTTTTGTATTCGAAAAACTTAGTTTAAGTTCGAAGATGAGCCATTTTTGATTTGATCCTGGGGTACTTGCCCTAAGAAAAACCTCAAAAAATTGACACTTTTGTATGGGAGGTACCTGTAAATCGACTCCGATTGGCTTCAAACTTTCTGGGATTTCATTTTTTGGGATAAAAATAGGGTTCTGAAAGTTTGAAACCAATCGGAATCGATTTACGGGTACCTCCCATACAAAATTTTAGAAATTTTGACTATAATTACCGATTTTTGGACAATTTTGTCTGGGAGGTACCCGTTAATCGATTCTGATTGGCTTCAAACTTTCTGAGATTTCATTTTTTGGAGAACGAATAAGATTCATGTTGATCGCATGTGCAGAAGTTAGGTTTTTGGCCCTCAATTTTTTCCAAGAAAATTTCGACAAAAATTGAGGACAAAAAATCAAACTTCTGCAAATGCGATCAACATGAAACTTTCAGAATCTTATTTTTTCTCCAAAAAATGAAACCTCAGAAAGTTTGAAGCCAATAGGAATCGGTTTACGGGTACCTCTCATACAAAATTGTCGAAGTTTTAGTTAAAGTGAGCAATTTTTCACTGCTCACGCATAATTTTATATTTTCACTGCCTTTATTTCAAGAAAATTCACAAAAAATAACCAAAAGTACCTACGGACAACGCAGGTCAACGGTACGGAAAAGTTCGGGATTACCAATGTAATTCTTTTTATTTGAACAAAATATTGTTAATATAATTAAACATCTTTATCACACTGAGTTGTAAACAATGTTTACAGCAACAACAAAATCGACAAATCATGTTTCAAGTAAATGTTGCCATGCGATGTTTACATGGTGGTCACATTCTTGCACATAATTATCTGTGTGACCACATATGTCATGAGAGAATGAGGATGAGGTTGAGGTATTACTCAGCTTCTTTCATCTTTCGTGTTGTGTTGTGTTCGCTTGCCAAACAATCAAAAAAATAAAATTGATCATGGAAAATAAACGAAAAGTAAACCGTACCTGGGAAAAAAGTGAAATAAGAGCTTTGATCGAACTATACGAAGCACAACCGGACTTATGGAATCCGGCGCGTGCAAATTACCAAAACAGGTAACTATCTTTTCCAAAATTGTGCTGAACATGTGTTCAATTATCGATTATCAAGAGGTCGCCGTATGGTGGAAAGCACATTCGGCATTATGGCTTCGAGATTCCGACTTTTTAGGACAACGATTGAACTGAGTGAAAAAAACGTTAAGCTGTGTATTCTAGCTGTGTGTGCTCTTCATAATTGGTTGATGACCATGAATCCAGATGATTCAATCACGAGAGAGTTTGAACTTCTGAATGATGGAGAACACGGAGATGGAATCGAACCAAATGGCCAAAGTGAAACAAACGAGGCAAAAGATGTTCGAGAGCGATTGAAGAATTACTTTATGAGTACACAAGGTGAAGTTGCATAGCAGTACGATATGGTTTGAAGTAAACACAGGCTATATTCGGAAATCAGTGTATGTTGTTTATTAGTGAAATTCTCTTTTTTGCACACAGAAAAGAAAAAGAGAAAGATGGCTTTTGATTCATATAGGAAGAATGAAGGCAACTACATGAAAAACGACGATCGAGTTTCTTCTGAAATGCGTAATGTGTGTCACTGCTCTCCTAAACTTATCGAATAAAAATAAAGTACATCATTATAGCAAAGGTAAAAGAACTTAATCTATTACTACATTTATAACACAGCGCCATTCAGACACATTGTCAACTAGAATAAAACCATTGTGACATTAGCTAGTAAGAACATTGAATAAAGACTTTCTTCTGTTTCCGACTCCCAGCTGAGATACATCACAAAAAACTTAGGCATACAATTTTTCATTGTTTTTGTTTATTGAAATCAAGTGAGAAACAATTCCACTTTAATGATTTTGATATGCCTTTTAACATAAGCAATATAGCCCGAGCGCGAAATTCTAAAATAAGTTACTTTTGTGCGATTTAATGTGAATGACATAAGGATCGTTGAATCATTGGTGGCGCACTTCAATACGTTTCCCAAATTTTCGAAACGAGTTGAGTGAACAATTTTTTGCCAAACCGTTAAAAAGGAGCATTAATTCCGCTTTTGTTGTCGCTTCTTCGGGTGCAAGTAGCTGTAGTTTCGTTGCTGTTTGTGAACCGATACACGATTGCTCTGACTCGGCATTGAATTTTAGCTGTTGACAATATCGTTTTCATATATTTTTTTGTATTTATCGGTGTCCATGTGTTGTGTAAGTGCACCAAATCTCTTATCTTTGACTTTAACTGTGGCTAGACAGTAGGCACACCAAACAATTCTCTTCGAAATCATGTTTATGCGTAAATTTTTTTTTCAACTGAACGCTCTTGAACTTTGATCTGAACAGACCATTCTAGCCACTCTGGGCTGAATTTACATGTTTTTTGGCTCATTGCTAATGGACGACTGAACTCAATCATATGATATTACGCGCAAATATCTGGATCCGATTTAATCCGTTACATGCATTTGAAAGAAATGCATAAATAGCAAACTAAGCAAAATTTAGTCATTGCTTTGTTAGCAAAGAATATCTATATGCATTGATTTCCGATTGTTTCAACAAAATAGATGAACAATAAAGAAAACATCAAAGACTAATCTTGCATCTTTGTTGTTTTACTGAACAGGTCAATCAATATACGGGCTATTATTATCTGTTTGAACCATGAGTCAATTGTTTCGTATTTTTTACCATTAGTTACTTTAAAAACTATTTTTGTTTCATTTTCATAATATTCTGATGATTCATGTTGACGGTTTTGTGTTCCAACACAGCTATTTTTTTCGATTACGACCAGAAATTTGAATAGCTAAATAAAGCTGATTTTCGGCGAAAAAGCCGACTAAAGCTACGATTTTCGAAATAGCTGAAAATAGCAGAAATAGCTGACCGGTGGCAAGCCTGCGTATTAGACACACATCTCGTAGTCAATACACAAGCGTACGCACGACCGACAATCAAGTAGCCATTCAAACATATTGTATATGTTCTATGCTAGCCTCTCCGTATTGTTTACATATTGACCGCTCATATTGTATTGTTCATATCCGAAATTTCGTATTTGAAATTTGCTCTCTTGAAATTAAACCAATGAATAATTCCACTTTTGGCTCACGAATTGACTTTATAAAAAGAATTTTATCAAGTAAAAACTATTTTTTATTGCAAATGCTTGACTAGCGTTTCACAAGAAATTGTAAACTTGTAAATTAGATTTATAGGTTCCTCTATAAAGGTGTCGCATATAAGGAGAACGACCACAGTTATTATTACAGCGACGACGAAGAATAAACAGATATGTGATGCTGGAAGCGGTGGCAACAACATCAACAACAATACTAATTAAATTAGTAGTTCCAAATTGAAGTTAAAGAATTTGAAAAAACTTGGCTGCTGAATAATCGCCTCAGCGGTTCTTTCTACAGCATAGTACACACGCGATTGGATGTTCCGTTCTTCCTTGGAAGAACTGGAGATAATGACTCGAATTGAGACAAATCCATTTATTCTACTAAAAGTAATAAATATAATAATTTTAAAGATGGAAAAGCAGCACATAGTATAGAAAGGCTATTGAGTTCAAACTTTTGACAGGTTGTGAACCGTTGCGACAAAAAAATATTCCCCAGAATATTTTAGTTTTAATGTGCAACATTGTTGTTGTTGTAACCTCTATATAAAAAATTTTTATGTTGCACTTTATTACTAAAATATTCTGTGGGAATTTTTTTTTGTCGCAACTGTTCATATGTAAAAATGTATGTGTCCACTGTAATTCTTTTTTTAGTGAGTATTTTGCTTTAAATCACAGCATGCTCAGAAAAACCGATTGAGGTTAAATCACCACACACCACTTTTGAGGTGATGTTCCATAACAGCTACAACATCAATCGGTTTTTCAGAGTGCAATCTATTTTACCTGTTAACCGATTGATTGTTCGGCAAGTGTAGGATTTCAAACCGTCTGCTGGACTTGCGTTATTAATGTAGAGTTCGCCGTTCGAAAGTACGTTATACTTTCCACCAATATCTGTATTCGGATATAGATGCATGCCGTTGTCCTGCACCCATGCAGTCACCATGACAAATTCATTCATGTAGCTCGGTACCTTGGGGTAAAATTAGTTATGATATAAATTGGGAAAGCACAACTGTAGAAGATATAATAAAATTCAGTTAAGTTAAGTCTCTATGAGTCTCTGTATAAACGGATAGGAAACGTTAAAAAAAAGAAAAGTCAAGCGCCACCTGGGTACTGTTTGCAGAAACAGAGAATCATAGTGAGCTATAGCGAGTGTCTAATAATACTCTCAAGGGTGATTTCCCCGATCTATATACACTCAGAGCCATGAAACCGAACTGTCAAACTACAACGGGGACCGCGTAGTCGGTTGTCATTCGTTGCGGAACGCGCTAAAAGTATGCATAAGTACATGAGTACATATTTCAAGCATTCTGGTTAAAAAATATTTCAATTATTTATAAAAATATACCTAGTGTATTAATATGAAAACCCATTTTTAATAACATTTTAGAAACGTTTGAAAAAATACCGAAAAAGAATATGAACTTTCTTTTTTTTGCTCAGAAATTCTTTGCTAACATTTTTCTTGTTTTTGATTGACAAAGTGAGGTTAAGTATCTACTGACATGTTCAATGTGTAGAACAAATTTGTGCACTCGGTGGAACAAAGCCATTGTGTGTTTAAGGAGCCACTTTATTCCCATGGCTCCTGAAACACATTTTCAAGCTCACTTTGTAGGAAGCGAACGTAAAAAATGTGAAAATTGAATTAATTGATTTCAAAATTCATTTGAACATCAGCAAATCTAAAGAAAACTTAGATAAATATGTTTATGATGGAAACATTTTTTCTAAATTTGATAATGTGGATGTGTCATCCAAATCATTCATTGCATTTAAATAGGAAATAAAGAAACAACATAATTTTACACAAATATTCATTTTCCACTTGATTTTATCATTTTTATTCACTACATGAATAATATACGTTCACGAAAATACGTTGTCTTTTTCAAACATAGTAGTTTAAATTCAACGAGTCGTTCTACGAAGGTGCACTTAAGACTGTCTGGCGTGTATTTAATTTGTACTTTATTCTGACAGCCGCGTTGTAATTGATGATGACAGTTCGGTTTCGCCCCTCTGTATACACTACAGGCCAAAATTATGGAAACACCTATAAAATATATTGTTTCTACATTTTTCGAACGCTTTCAGTTCAAGATTAATATTGATTATGAAAACTTATCGAAATTGTGACCGAATGAAAGATTTGTAATCGGCCAAAATTTTCAAACGGTCATATCTTGGCCAAACGCCGGCCGATTTTGATGATTTGTACCAAAAATGCCATCAAATTTTTGAGATCTTTCCAACGGCGTATATAGCTTTTTCAAAAGCTCGCTTTCGGCCACCACAGCGAAAAGGCCGAAAAATGGCCATTGGCCGGCCAATTGTTATCTTCCAAATCTTCCATTCGGTCAGAATTTCGATAAGTTTTTAGACGTAATAGAAGTGTAAATCTTTTAATTCTATTTTTTAAGCAAACCGCTCACTTTTCGGTGCAGATATTTTATTTATAAGTTAGTTTGATCCGAATGAAGATTTAATACAAATTTCTGCGATACTGGTGCGAAAAAAGTATACTTTTTCGCGTAGCGCGAATAAAGCCGCGAATAAAGCGATCCGCCCAATTTCATTGAAACAAGTGGTACAATTCTGTTAGAGTATTGTGGGAAGATGTTAATTTTATGAATTTTTGCAGTGCACAAGAAAAAAAAGTTGTTTGTACGGTGGGCTCTTGGTCTATTTCAGAACCAAAATCAGTTTTGAACTGAAAACGGTCGAAAAATGTAGAAACAATATATTTCATAGGTGTTTCCATAATTTTGCACTGTACACAGAGAGAAATTGGGTTGGTACGATTGCATATGACGTTTGGAATATGTCAAAAAGCAACGTTTTTTCTATGGCTGTTGTAAAGTTTGCAACAGAGTGTGTTATGAGCTGATGTCAGCAGTACCAACTAACGTCAGTTGCTGATATCAGCTGCTGACGAGTATGCGTTGAGTTGTTTCAACGCATTTGCAGTGCAAAATTCATATTCCTTTAGTGAACGGGAAACGTTCAATTGAGTGGTCGGGAATAAAAATGACTAAAGTTGAACCACTTATGGATAACCGTAACACAATATTCTAGATTTTTAAAAGTGCAACATAAATTCTGTTCGCTTCAAAGTGAATCATAAAATATCTGTAGACTATAGAAATCGTGTTTCACTTAAATTGAAGCCAAAATGTTCGATACACTTTCAAGTCCATTGGAATGATGATTCATTGTAATAGAGGTTTTGGTTGTGATTTGGCTTCGGAGTGAAAATTAAGTGATAAGGAGCGCGAATTTCGATGTGCCGATAACACCATTGGATTGGGTACATGAAATACTGTATGCGAATCGAAAAAAAAAATTCAACTTTTTTTTCGATTTTTGCCTGTTTTCGATCGTCTACATAGGAAGTTTATATGAAAACCTCGGAGCGCCGGTGTTTTACCCGTATGTTGCTAGGGGCACCAAAATCATTTTTGCCTCGGGCACCAAATTTAGTTAACTCGGCATTGAATCGTACGTACCATCCTAATTTCTCTCTGTGTAAAAAAGTGTAACATGACGAATCATGTTGCAGTTTAAAGCTGAAAGTTGTGACAGTTTATTTCTCAATTCACCGTTATTTCTTTTTAAAACCAATTTCGGGCATGATGCAGTTTGCTTAAAATTTATATTAAATAAGTGATAATTTGACAAGGAGTGGGAATTTCAATATGGCGATAACACCATTGGATTGGGTTCACCATCAGAATTGAAAAACAAATTTTAAACTTTTTTTGTCGATTTTCGGCTGTGTTGCGGCCGTCTACATGGGAAGTGTGTATGAAAACGTCGAAGCGCCAGTGAAATTTCATTGGTTCATATGGAAGAATTTATACATGGCCTAAACTCGGATTACTGAGCAGAATTTCGGCAGAAATAATGTATCCATCGCCCTCAAATCCCTATGAATAAAATCGATGGCTTCCCAATTAGCCGCCATTCCACCAGCTCCGAAGTTCCTATTCACTTAGACGTCCAAACTCATTTATTATATATTTCGATCATACATGAATGAAGGAAATGCGTTGTGGTTCTCTAATTTTTGGCGGTAGTGTATATTTTTATCACATCGGTTTTATATACAAAAAATAGAATTGTGTGAAAGAGCATACCTGACATTTTAATAGGGCTGTATTGCCAGACATCACGTACTCATCGTGTACTTGTACTTTGTACTTCTGGTTAACAACTGAAAAAAAAAACACAATTAATAGTAGAATTAGGGTGGGTTCAATGTTTCTGAACGTTGGTTACTAGTTTTTAATTACTCTGAAACTCAACAAGAATGTTTATGAATCGGATGTAAAATGGCAAGAAGACCATCTCTGAGTCTATTTACACATCTATTTGATCAAAAGAAATGTATACACATGCAATATAGTATCCTCCCCCAGTTGTCGCATTAAAATTTATACATAAACCACACATACATGCATGTATATATGGTATATAGAACGACCGGAAAAATAACATAAGAGAAGTCTCTTGACGGCAGCACAGAGGGTAGGTTTGATTAATTATGCATCTTCACTTCACGATACCTTTACGTTCGCTTCAACGCGAGATATGCAAACAATGACTTCAATTGAAATAAATATTTCGTTATATTCAACCATATAAAGTAATCAAGAATCGTAGAGAAAAAAGGTCGCCACATGTTCATTCGTACGTGCATCTGGTCTATAATCTTTCAGTCTTGGTTTCAAGAGCAAACAAGTTCTCTGTTTGTTCAATGCATATTTTCGACGTGAAGTGTTCGCAAACCATATCACATTAGGTTATAGGCGTATAATATACGCCGTGTATTTCTTCATTAATTAAACAAGTCAACGCATCCGATGGCATCTTCACCTCATTTGAATTCGAATTTCATTTAATCATTTCACTTGTTTGAGACTCTAATGGATTTTGCGACAAATAAAAATATCCAATAACTTGAATGTCTTTACTGTGAAATTAAATTTCGAAAAAATGTAATGAAATTATAAATACTTACCGCCTCGAACGATTACTTCTCTACTCAAGATCGTGCCGATTACATTCCGTATTTTACACCTTAAAAGCAGGAAATATTTTAAATTTTCAATAATACGTAATCACTTATGATTTGACAAATGAATTTAAATTGAAAATTAAAAATAATAAACATCAGCACACAGATTGAACTTAAACGACATCAAACGGACGGATAAAATTGAAAAGTGATGCTTGTGATGACAGTGAATGACAACAATGTTTTCAACTAGTTTTTTTCTTCTGTATGATTGTATAAAAAAACTCCTGTAACAGCTTTTTCATGATTGTATGTCATCGTCTATATTGCGATATTTGGCATTCAATCTAGATTTACATTTGATAGCAATCGCTTTTATAATTTTACATTCGCATACAATTCGTAATAATATTCCTATGGGAAATCGATAAATAGATTTTCCTCCAACTTTTTTATCGCGCACATTTATAACACAGTGAACGTTTGAAAATCTCAAGTTCCACAAATCTTAATAGTCCAGAAAAGTAAAACAAATCCCGGCTCCAATTGAATGTTCTGAAATGATTTCAGTATTGAAATTCCAATCATAGTACGTACACAATATATTCAAAAGTTGCCTATACTACAGGCTTCGTAGGAATCACTAGTCACTCATAAATTGTATGAAGAAGTGACTAAGACCTAGTCATGGTGACTCAAAACAATGGTAAATTGAAAAAATCATAAAGGAGTATAATAAAGTCAATTTGGAATACATAAAATGGCTGAAATATAACTAATAAAGAAACGGTTCGTGCTAGGCGCACTGGCCGGTAATTGGAATCAAACATCGTAATAGCGAATATGGTAACTTGCCTGTAAATGGTGGAATGAATTTCAAATGAGTATTTCTCTGCTGTAAAAGGATAGAAGATAAGGCTTCCGTTTTGTAGCGAGTAAACCAAATCCTGATGCGGTGGAACTGGTGACCACTCAATCTGCAAAACAATAATCAAGTCATGCCAAACTTTTATTAGTGAGAATATTATCAATTCATGATGCCAAGTAACATTGTGTTATTTTTTAACAAATAAATATTTAATATGGCTCATTTAGAAAACGTCTAAAAAAGTGAATAAAAACTTCTGAAGAATTATCCAAAATCGAATAAAGCATCGTAAAAAAATGAGCCGTTTATTTTTTCGTAAAAAGCTTAATTAACCTTCTGACTATGTTTGGGTAAATAGAACTTAGACTGTGTTTGGTGGAATATTTGTCACGTCTATGCATTTTATAAAGAGAAAAAATATTTTTGAATATTTTCTTTTGAATTTATATCTATTAGTGAGACGTAAAAGAATGCAAGTTTGTCCAACTTCGTAGCAATAAAGAGAAATATGTTTTATTGCAACAAATAATGGTTAAAAGAATGTATGTTCGTTTTTGGGGGGGTCGTCGCGGTTTTGCACGGTTTCCGCGGAACTGATAAGAGATAACAACTTGTCTTCAGCAAATTTGTAGTACTCAAGGTCCTCTATAACATTGCTGAAGACAGTTATTTTTTTTTTTTTATTAAACACCGCCAAGCTCTGGCTGAATGTAATGTGGGTTTTGTTAGAGGTTTGGCCGGAAAAGAGTGCAAGACTGTCACAATTTTTATAAATAATGAATAATATTAGCAGTAACTTTCGATAACTTTCAGTTCTCGCCTCGTTCAAAACCTGACTCTTTTCGTAAATTATGAGGTAATCACAATGTAGGAACATGAAAACGAAAGCAGTCATACAACCAAGATGGAAATGCTTATAGTAGTCTATAGTAAACGGTCTAGGATAACCTTTGGTAAACGTTTCCAAAGGGACAAAGGCTATGTGAAGCGTTAACTGTTACGCGTTAAATTTAAGACTTTGACTGTATCAATTATCTCTTATCGGTTCCGCAAAAAGCGCGAAAAATGATAAGAAAAAAAGTTCTGTACAAAATTTGCTTTTTTATATGCACGATTTGTGCGCAACTGATAAGAGATAAGAGAGAACTGTCTTTAGCAATGTTATAGAGGACCTACTACCGAGTACTACAACTTTGCCGAAGACACCATGTTGTTATCGTTTCAACGCATTTACTCACTTCTGGTTGTGGTGAACCGTGTCCAGAGCATTCGATATGTCCTCCAGTGTTGTTCGAGAACTCAACTTTGTGAGGTGGTTCATGAGAAAATACTGGACCTTGTAGATCTAGCGCGTATGTTTCTGAAAAAATTGAAGTAAAATAAAACCATATCACGAGCGAGGGGGTAGACATTACACTAACAATAACATCATTTGCAAAATGAAATTCGTTCAAATCGTGATTAAAGGTGTGAACGCGCACATTTTGCACACGCACTTGTATACTCATTTCCATTAATATCTGTGATGTCAAACTCATTTGACATATTTCGGGATGCACTCCTGAGAATATAGAGATGGTTTGAATATTGAAAACCACAGACGTCGCTAAGCTATGAAAAAAAACATTGAGCAATGTTTTTGGATTCAAAAAACATTTCTTCTTCGATCAAATTCTAAGCACAACTTGACAGTAATTCCGTGGTGATTATGACTTTTTCGCCCAAAGCAGTTTCAGAGACTTTTTATCCCAAATTGATAGAATCCGAACACACCAGGGAGTCATTCACTGAATAGTTCGACGTCAACTACCGCATATCTTCTGACATAGTGCGTTTTTGGAATGAACATATTGGAATAAAAAGAAGGCCTTTTTGAGCAAAAGCGCTCCACTTTTCCTTCCAAATTCAATAACTTTTTCACATGATGTAGCGGGATATGTAATGAAAATTCATTTGTTCGTCTCCATTGATACATAACCAACAAGGGTATATTTCGTCTTGTTTGCTTTGACATTTCTTCGTAACAGATATTAATGGAAATGACTATACAATTCACGAAAAACAAAATTGGGTAAGGGTTTCTAAGTTGAGCCGGCATGTTAGTTGAAATACGCATGATTTTTCATATTTGGAGAGGGTGTAGTATTCAAACCTACAATAATCCAAACTCTTCAAAGCATTTGAACCTTACAACGGTTTCCTAAACCTAACAAAGACACACCTGCATGTACGCCTACGATGGTGACATATATCTACAATAGATACGCCTCTCTTTATCAATTGACCATTGTTTATGAAACAATGGGTAATTAAAATAGATACACGCGTTCACACGTCTGGTTAATCATATGAATATCAATTGTCAACCAATGATTCATGTATCGAATTAGTTCATCGATGATTAAGCACTCTCAAGTAGCAGGGATCTACCGAGTAGTATATAAGACCGATGTCGACTAGGTTTAAATGCTTATTTTGTACAACACCTTCCAAGCATCAAGAAGTAAATAAAATATTCTAATCGAGAGCTAAAACATCTTTTACTTTAAACCTTGGCTAAATACACTTTAAGGGAAATATACCGAAATTCAAACAATCGTCGTTATTAAGCAAATAAACTTTACTTTTGATGTCATTTCCGAGCGAAAATACCCTTCAGAAATAGCTCATATGGGCATAGTGTGCAATTTTATGAAAAAAAATTAAAATTCCAAAAATGTTGTACAATGTGAATGATTTTCATCGATAACATAAAGGTGAACATATGCATGTGTTCTATTTTTATTGTATTTTAAAAATCGGAAGAGTATTTTAAACATATCGTGATATGGAATTTTTTTTTCTCAGCTATTTTGAATTGTCTACAGGAATGTAAGTTGAGCAACATCTGAAAATGTAGGTAGAATATCATCGTTTTTTACTTTGAGTTCACATTCTGATACCTTTTTGATAATTATCTGATGTTTGAAACGGAAAAAGAATCAATTTTAAAGCGTTTAAGTATATATTTTAGTGGAATATCGATTTTGATGATGATATTATGGATTTTTTCTTTTAATGTCAAAACTTTGTAACAAATCAAGAAATATTTCTGAACGTATATTTTCGGAATTTTTTGAAGCACTCTTCGAATTAATAAAGGCGCTCGTGAAGCATCGAAGAGCGCTCAGCGCCCTTTCGCGCCGCCGTGACTACGGCTCTGCACTAGTATGAGTAATACTGAAATTGAGTTCAGTATTATGCGCTGTGAAATAGTATTAAACTAAACATGGGGTCGCAATGAATTTGTAAATATCAAGGTATGGCTTCATGTATCAATATACCCCATTTTTTTTACGTATTTCGTACTCAAGCCATATAGCAAATTGTATTCAGCAACCAATTATATTGTCTCCAACCGGTATAAATCTGAAGAGGTTATATTTGCTCCATAATTTATTGTATTTATAAAAAATTACAAAAGTTGGTCAGATAACATGAAATGTGACGAAGGAAAAAATTAGAATGAGTGTTTGAACTGAAGCGCAACTTGAAATTTATTTATTAGAAACGTAATATGAAACGTCGCTTCACTAGAAGCGTAACATAGAAAATGTGAATTTTGAATGTGGTTATTTGTATTTTTCGCGAAAATGATTCTCATTGTTATTATCAACAACACAAATGAAAAATCGATTCCAAATTAAATTGAAATGAAATATTATTTACTAATCAACCAAATAAAAAAAAATCAACTCGAGAAGATAGACTTTTTTGAGAGCTTACTCATAATTAATAGTTTCAGTTTGTTTGTAAACTAACAATAATCAAAATCGATCGACAGATTTTTGCGAATACACAAAATATTATCCTCCCGCGTTGGCTTCGTTCGTTCGACATGATTTGATAAAAAAAAATTTCGTTCGAAATTTAAAAAAAAAAATTGCATGTTCTTTCGTTCGGATGGCTTTATTTATTTATTACGAAGCCTACATTTATGCCAATATGTGTTCACAGCAAGCTGAGAACATGCTGGTTAGAGACCCAATGCGGCATAAATTCCGCCCATGGTGCGTCTTTTGCGAAGAGATTACAGTCAGGGGAGGGATGATATAAAAGTAAAGCTTTCATATCAGAATTGGGTCCGGAAAACCATGGCAAAACCGGCCTGATTCTGGAGAACCAGGGGAAATACAATGATGCGTTTTTGCAATTAAAGTACGTTAACATCAATGGGAAAAATCAAATGAAAAATAACAAACTAAATCTAGATTCTAACTAATTGGATAAGAAATTTCATAACAATGATCCGATAAATCGTGGTTTGAAAGATGTCGAACTATTTACTGTGCAGAACGTAACAGATGCTTTAGATTATTTTTGAACGCGACCAGAGATTTAGAATTTCTTATTTCGACCGGTAAGCTATTCCAAAAGTTAATTGCAGAGAAACTAAATGCGCGAGTGTCAAATGCAGTACGCGGTTTGAAATTTATGCGAAGATTATCCGGATAACGCGACGATTCACCATTACGAACAAACCTGTGATTCAGGTACTCAGGCGAACAATTTGAAAACTGCTCGACGCGTTCGACGTTCAACACTATCCCATATCAACCCGGCAAAAAATATACATTTGGTTGAAACCTGTTGAAAATTGAGAACAACTAGGGACCCTAGACAAGGATTAAGCGCAAATCATACTCATGAATTAAAATTTGCATTGCATGTCGATATTATCATCAAATACACTATAGTGCTTCAATTCGGAACACATAATAGTGCTATAGAATTAAATCAACTCTTTTTGTATCCCACACATTTCGATAGCAGCATTTACAAATATAGCTGCGGAACCATTTTTTTCATTTAATAAAAACAAAACACTTGCACTCATTTCACAACAATATAATGCGTCGATACGTTTTGTTTTGTAACTATTCCAGAATTGCATTAAAATAAAGAGTTTCTCTAATTCTACATAGAATGCAAATTGGTAATGGTTGCTTTGGAAATCACCCCGAAAAATGATAAAACCTTGCAACAATTATTACAAAAAAAAAAAACCCAAAACTTTTTATCGATTTTACACACACCGAAATACAGCGACTTGAACTATTAAAATATCCTTTAGTAACCGCATTCATAGAATTTTACTGTAGTTGCGATATTTCCTAAAATTTTCCTGTAGTGTTCATGCAAACGTCAAACTGAACCGAGTTTGACAAGTGTCAAACAACAACGAATCTGCACTACAGGGACATTTAATAAAACACATTACTACTACAGTGAAACACTGTGAATGTAACTGCTACAGAGTTTATTAATAAGATAGGACAATATATGTTGGTGCGTGTATAATCTTTTCGGGCTGTTACGCAGACAAATTAGTAAAAACGTCCAAATCTGTTTTGGTCCCCTATTCTGAAATTCGAATTTTGTCAGACTTGAGTGCAAAATAATTTGAATAAAAGTAGAAAAACATTCATATTTAATTGAAAATCTTTGCAAATTATCTTCAATCTGTGTTCTTGAATTCATTCACTCAACGGAAATATATTTAAAAAAGAAGTTGAAATCATAGAATTCTTTTAATGTTTTATTTGTTTCTATACTCTGTAAAAAAAGAAAGGTCGGACTTTTTCATGTATCATGAACACAAAACAATAATTTATTGCAAATAACAATGAAAACCGATTCAAGTATATTGGCATATTCTCAAATTCTGAAAATTACCACTAGAGTGTGTTTGGTTACACAAACATCAGCGCCAAAACAACCGTTATTTTTATATTCACTAATAATTGGGAAACAAACATGTTCACGTGAAGAAAAAAAAAATACTTTTCCGTACATGAACCAATTAATTAAAAAATAAACAAATATTCAATAAACTAAGTCCTTGTTATCAAATAAAAACTGAAGAAAAAACATACAAACAAAGTAAAAATTCAACAACGCTCGCACAATATAACACATGATGACACCTCTGGAGCCAAGCGGTCATAGCGGTGACAGTTAAAACTGCCATCGCTTTACACTAGAGGTCGCCATGTGTTATATGCGAGCATCTTTGAATATTTACTTTGTTTGTACACACACAGAAATACATAAGTACTAGAAATTGATGTAAAGTGATTTTTTTTTTGAATTCGCACCCAAAGCTTTTTTGCTAATGAGGATTTTTTTTTCTCATCATGTCAAAAAAAAAAAAATTTCTTCATTCGCACATGTTTATTTTTTATTTAAATGTTGCACGGAAAAGTAATTTTTTTTCTCCACTTAAACATGTTTTTTTCCTGATTTTGAGTGAATATAAACATAATATATACAGGGTGGCGCAGAATAACTGTCCTCTTTTTTCACATCGCACGTTCTTATACACAATGTATTGCGATTCACCCGGCATTGTACCGTTATGTTTATTGGTGTTTACTCTAACACTTGAACTACGACGCATTTGTGTTCAGTGTTTGTTTGTACTGCAATCACGATGGAAGCAAAACGTCATTTGGTTTTGGATTTGCACAAGCGCGGCTTCAGAAAAATAGATATTTTTCGGAAGCTCCAAAATATCGATATTTGCATGAAATTCATTCAGCGTACTATCAAACGATTCATTGATTTTGGCACAGTTGAAATACAAAAAAAAATCCGGTCGTCAATGATCCATTCGCACCAAAAATCTCATTAAAAACGTGAGAGACAAAATTCGAAGAAATCGCCACAGAAGTGCCAGAAAGTTGGCCCAGGAACACAATGTCAGTCGAAGAACAATGCAACGAGTTCTGAAAGATGATTTGGGAATGAATCCATTAAAAAAAAAGCGTGGGCATGGTCTTACACTTAAACAGAAGCAAGCCAGAATGGCAAGATGCAAGGAGTTGTTGCGCCGGCGCGCAACCTCAAACATTGTTTTTTTCAGATGAAAAGTTGTTCGTGTTGCAGCAAAGTCTCAATGCACAAAATGATCGTGTGTATGCAGTGTCAATTGTCGACATTCCTGAAGACGAATTGACCGTTTAGCGATTTCAAAATGCTTCACGGGTTATGGTTTAGGGCGCCTTTTCGGCCGGCCAAAAATTTCCGCTTGTTTTCATTGAAGAAGGCGTGAAAATCGATCGATTTGTTTACAGACAGAAAATGTTGCGTCAAAACTTGTTGCCACAGTCCAGACGATTATTTCACAATGAACCATGGGTGTTTCAGCAAGATGGTGCACCGTCACACAAAGCGGACATAACGCAAGAGTGGTGCCGGTCGAATTTGCCCGATTTTATCGATAGAGATTCATGGCCGCCGCCGTCTCCTGACTTGAATCCGCTGGATTATTTTGCTTGGGGTAACATCGAAGCTCAAGAGTCTAAAGATCACACAAATCACCACAATAAATGCATTCAAAAAAAAAAATAGAAAAAATTTGGAATGAAATTCCCATGAATATGGTGCGCGCCGCGTGTGAATTATTTTTTAAGCGTCTGCGGCTGGTGATCAGAGCAAGTGGCAATCGAATCAATCCGAAAACGTGATTCGTAAACTTTGTAACAAATACTAACGGAAAATAAAAACTCTTTTCAAATTTCGTTGGAAATTCTACGTTTTTTAATTAAAAATGAAAAGGACAGTTATCCTGCGCCACCCTGTAGATATAATTGCTTATCGGAGATGGCTAACAACGATGATGGATCCATCAAAAACACATATGTAATGGAACAATATTTTATAGTTCTACATTGTGACATGGCTGCTGAATAATCGCCTCAGCGATTGATTCTACAGCATAGCACACCAACATTTCGACCGTTCCGTTCGCAGGAACTGGAGTGTGTTTTGAAACCTACACTCTCTACTCTTCTTCTCCATGACTCCATCACTCTCTATTCATCTTCTAAGCCATCAATATTTTTTTATCAGTAGCAAGCATTTCACATTGTACTTACCTCTCAAAACGAAAATCATAAGTACAGTCTTCAAAATTTGATCATTCGTTTCAATACCCATCCTGAATGCGTTTGGTTTGAAGATAGTAGAATTCCCCTTTTTTGCATTGATTGTGTATGATTGTTTTCTCAATCAATTACCCGATGAACGTGTTAATTCGATGTATGCTTCAATTTAATCATTTAATTCTCAGTATGTAGCAACCGAAGTGCAAAGTCGAATTTCAAAAATAATGGCTTCCTGAATTTCCTTTTAAATTTTAAAAATTATTGATGTATTGTGAAAATAAGCTGATTATTCTTATATGTCATTTCAATGCAATGCATCGACGTTCTTAGCGACAAAGTTCACAAATCGCTATAGTGAATACAAGCATGTCCGCGAGATCCATCGTGCATCTGCTCAATACGTGAGCGCTCAGTCCACAGAGAGCTGGCTCAATTGAGTTTGACATACGCATAATAAGGTAACTTCATGTGAAAACCAACGCAAACAAATGTTTGTAAACAACAAGCAATTCACGTTTCAAAGTGAAGAAAAATATTCATGGTGTGAAATTAATATGAAATAGACATTATAATTTATTTTGTGATTGTAAATTCAACTTTTTAAAAGAACGTTTGCATTTGAATGACTTTTTTGTGTTTGTTGTTTCGTTTGTGGTTTTATTATCTACCGAAGTTTAAATCTTCAATATTTATTTTTTCAAGCAAAGATATACAGAAAATCCTAGCATATATTGTTCATGTTTCATGAGAAAAATGTTTGCTCCAACTTCTTCATAAGGAAGTTTACTTATTATGCGTATGTCAAACTCAACTGAGCCAGCTCTCTCTGTGAGCTGAGTGCTCACCTATTGGGGAGCTGGCTCTCAGAGGGAGCTCGCAGGAATGATTACATTGCAGCGACTCGTACTCGTAAGGATTCGAATCTCTGTACGAATCGCTTGTCAAAGTCAAACGTCAAAAAGTATATAACCCAAGTGCAAACACCACGTTTTTATTTTGACGTGATGAGCGTTTGCACGCTATTCCCACGTCTTGTATATAGCATTGTAGGAATGATTGATGTACGCTTTCAAATATAAATACATGTAAGGACATGTAGAAATTGTACGTCTTCTGCGATGTTGTCGACTGTTCAGTTGTCTCTACTATATGTATTCAGCTCAGTATGTGTGTGTGCCGAGCACTGAACAGTCGGCAACATCGCAGAAGACGTACAATTTCTACATGTACACTCTCCGTATTAAGTATAGTATTGACCGGATTGACAGTTGTTGGCATACCTGCGTTTGATTCATCATATTTATGCTCATTAGGGTCCCGATCACTAAATTTACATTTAAACGTGTTTAAATTTTCAAAAGATTCACCTAGCTTATTGTATCGGTCAATGTTTCGTTCACTATTACTGAATCCGTTAGCCTGAAGGAAATAACATTTTTTTTAAATTTAACTGTATCGAAAATTTTATTACTTTCATTGAAAATTTATATGAAAAAATGTAGTTGATCTGTGTACATCTTGTTGTTCATTAAGTTTCTTGAATTTACTGTTATTTAGTGGCACACACTTACACTTTTTTTTTGGTACAAACATTTTTTTTCACCTTCGTTGGAAGATCATTTCATGATTGCAATTCATGAATTTCAATTCATCATTGCGTTTTTCATTCACTTTCAAATTATATTCATATTGGATTTATAATAATGTTGATTTTTTGGTGTTTTTTTTTTCTTTGTATACGTCGAATTTCCTTTTCTAAAAATCCACGTTGCTATGCAGTTATCATTCTGTCGAAAGAAAATATGAATACTTTTAATTATTGTAAAATACGAATCATAACGAATTTTATTAGAATGAATTATTTTCGAAGTGTTGACTCATTCAAATTAGAAACAACAAAAAATCGACGAACTTCTTAGCACCAAATGTTCATTTATCAAAGAATGAAGAACTTATTTCATTCACTGCATTTTTTCAAAAAAAAAAATTCATAGCCGTTTTCAATCAAATTAGCACACCATTAAATGAAAAAAAAGATGATAAACTCTCCATAAATGGTTCTGTCATACGTCACGAGATAAATTTAATATCTTTCGTGCATTGAAATCGGAGCGTTCTTTAAACGAACTAAGGGCAGACTTCGAATTTCCCATTGACGTGAAAATTAAGCGACGTGCCACAGCCAACAACACTCAACAGTGTACTGACGAAAGTAGCATGCTATGCTTGCTCCCTATGTGCGATTTGTTACTTTTGTTGGGTTGTTGTGAACGCTTTACGACGTTTCCGTTTACAAAGCTGAACCATTGAGTAAGGGATAAAAAAAAAAACTATATACATCAATTCAAGAATGAGAAAGTTTTCCTGCTTGGCAAAATGCCGTATCAACAGTCCATTAACTCAAGAAATGTTTAGGGTGCACAATTTTTCAATTGATTTTTTTTTTTCAAATTGAAGATTATCTTTAAATTTACTTGTGATCTCTGAATTTGGCAGTGTCTCAATAATTATTTCGAATTTGTTGTCCAAGTATGTGCATTTATAACTATATTATTTTGTTTTATCGTTTCTTTTTTTTTTATAACCGTTGGAAAATGGTTCAATTTCAATAAGTCCAATAATTTTATGGCAATAAAGTTCATTTTCTGGATGTCGATAAAACCATTTTCAGAAAGTGGCATCATAAATATATGTATATATAACATCAACACTGGCGTATTGACCATGGGCAAAACACTTTTTTGAGACTGGATGTGTAAGCGTTTGTACCAAGGATAACATCACGTTTGCGGTATATTCTGCCACGGAAGCAATGCAAACCATAGCGTTTCTTCGTTCACGTGTGTTGTAGATGGAATATTGAAGAAACGAAAGTACTCCATGCTGCTGCATCATTAACATTTTCCGTACACGTTTGTATGTCAGGAAAAGTATTGATAGCCAAATGTGACCATGTCTATTCATGAGGCGATAGAAGAAGAAAATATCGTTGTAGAAAAAGAATATTTCGCCTTCGATCTGATTATACAAATTCAAGAAATTAACTTATTATTATCAAATGATTTCCAATGATAGCTTAGTAGTCAAGTGTTCGGCAAGGACGCTCAAATTTATCGTATTAAATTATTAAAATATTTATATTTGTCGAATTTTGAGTGAGATATGATTATTATCTATGATATAACCAAAGAAAAGTAATTTGAATCCAAAGAATTTTCGTTCGCAGCATAATTTAATGAAATCATCTGATTTAATCAACTATTTTTCAAGTCATGTGCAAGTAGATTCTGTGGCTCGAAAAAGTTTGTTTAACGAATGTAATTCAGTTTGTTTACGACTATATTCAACATATTCAAGTGAAAATTATTTTCTTGATGTGCTTATGTGTGCGTGTGTGCGCGCACGTATGTGTATGTGTAGAAACATCAAATTAGAGAGATGGAGAAAGCTTTCAAAAGAATAACTTAGTCATGAAAAGGAAAGGAGTTAACCATTATGAAGAATCGATGGTTTGATACGCGCCTCAAAGGAGATCAGCTATGGATGTGAGTTTTGTCTGCAATATAAGATCTCAACAAAAATCAATGAACTGTACGAAAAATGCATTAAAAGAGTCACATTTTTCGATTAATTTTTTTTTTGACACGAAAATTAAACGTTTTAAACTCGTTTCCCAATAACCTATTAGTTGATGTGGATGATATTATTCATACCAGTATTGGCGTGGATGGAACACACAAGAGTCCACATTTTGGGCGAAATTTTGCTTGGTAGAGGCTGACCCGGTCTTATATTTCACCTTACAAATGGAGTTTGAGGTGAAATTCCCTAGGGGAATTTAACTCTTACGAGTTCAGCATGTTTTCTGCCAGTTTGCTTGATTCGCGGAAGTTCGACGCGTTCGTTGTACGTACTGACGCGCACGGTCACAAGTTTACACAAGTTTGTTTATGGTTTTGCGCGTTTTTCAAGTTGTTATTTGACAACTAAAACGCGTTTCAAACTAAAAATCGGTTGTTTACGTGTATAAAGATTTTTCACATCCTTTCCAAAAGTTCAAAGATTTATATAATTATAAAATGGAAAAAGGAAATATTTTTAAAGAGCTGGAGAAAGTGTTGGAAGAAAAAGTTAATCCAGATATAATAAATGGAACGACTGATGTGTCCGCGTCGTCTAGCTTCATGTTTGCACACGAACTCGCACAAGTTCGCGCATGTTGTTTTAATACGGAACTTGTCAACTGAGTGGAATCATGCAAGTTCTCTGGTGAATGTAACAATTTCGTGCGCGTTTATATCATTTTTTTACAAGTTTTCACGTAGTTAAATCCCCCTAGGAAATTCCGATATATTTTTTAGGCGGAATTTCGCCTGCAGCTCAAATTACTAGCAGAAATATCAACTGAATGAGTCTTCAGCTGAAAAAACTTCTAAGTGTACACTTTTGTAACTGTGGCATATACGCTTAAAGAAGTCAACAAACACCGAGCCTGAACACTGAACGATTGTTTCGAACAGTTCTAAGTTCGCGTTAGTTTGTGGAAATTTTTCAAACATCGAACGTTCGTAAATTCTTCTAATTGCCTACGAACGAACGATCGAACAAAATTGGACTTTTTTTCGAACAGTCCGTGTCCGTTGACACTTTTATATACGCCTTTTGAATAGGGCCACAATTTTATAGCGCTAGCCAGTGCCAGTTCGCAATTTTTTCTCAAAGTTTCATACGAAAAACATGTCGAATATTTGCGAACTCATTTTTCTTCGAGATTTTGTCGTGATAAATGATTGTCGTTTAGAACGCTGTGCTGAATAGACTTTGATGTCGTCCGTTGATAAAATCGGATAAAATCCATAGGTTCTGACACCAAAAATTCCTTTGGGGGTCAAAAAAATCAATTCTATCTAGTGTAAAATCATTTTCATAATCGATCCATTCTATCTAGTGTTAATGTATGTCGAGACATACTCAAATGAGTATGAAAAAGAGTATGAAAAAGAGTAGGAAAAAGAGTAGGTGTAGAGTTACTCTTTGGGTAAAAAATGAGTAGGTCGAGACATACTCAAAATCAAAGAGTATATACTCTGAGTATATACTCACATACTCAAAGAGTATCTATGAGTATGAGAGTATGTCGAGACATACTCATTTTCGAAATGAGTGAGTATGAGAGTATATACTCGCGAATTCGCCCACCTGTAGCAACTTTTTTGACCAGAAAAAACGCCATCCTACGTCGTGCCCGTAAATTATTTTACTGTACATTTAGATGGTAGAGCTTGAGCAAAAGTTCGACACTATGCATAAACTTGGAAAGAGCTTGATAAACTTGATGAAATACATACATATATCTTATGGTCGTTGCAATACCCCTATGTTAAAATATGTTGGTTAATAACATATTAATAAAATATCAAAAATGAACAGCTGTAGATTTGCGAAGTCTACGGTTATTTTTAGACCAAAATGGATAATATTTGAAATTCAAAAACAAAATTAGAATCCTATTTACTAATGGGCAGGGATCGAAACCAAACCAAACCGAATATTTGGTTTAAGTGTGTGAACGAACCGAACCAATCGGAAAGTTCTGAAAAATGGACACAGAATTTGTATGGCACACAGAAACGTTCATGCTTACGTGTATTAGTATACAATACCAACACAGTGACAAAAACGTTTTAACGTTGCTCATACAAACCATTCTCAGAACGTCCCGCTTGATGCTCCAATGAACAGAGAGCAAAGCAGTGAAACCGTTCCGAAATCGGTTTGTATGAGAAACGTCAAACCGTTTTCGATCTCTGCTAATGGGTTAATTGCAATCGTCAGTACAACTGTACTGTCATGTATCATATTGAATTAAAATAAGAATAAACAGAGATGTGATGCTAGAAGCTGCGGCGACAACAATTATCATCAACAAGTAGTTCAAAGTTGATGTTGAGGATTTTGAAAAAAAAAAAACCAGAGACTGCATATTCGCAGCTGAGTAGGCCTGAGCTGAGCTGAATTTGCTAATTCAGCCTCCTGAACCGTTATTTTAACGTACTTAAGGTGCAAAATTGCTTGTTGTTTATCAATTATATTAAGGTGGTAGCCAGTTAGCAATGACAATTTTGCACCGTAAGTACGTTAAAATAACGGTTTAGGTGCCTGAGTTAGCAAATTCAGCTCAGCTCAGGCCTACTCAGCTGCAAATATGCAGTCTCTGAAAAAACACATTTATAAATTGGAACAATATTGTATAGTTCCACACTGTGACCTGGCAGCTAAATAATCGCCCCAGCGGTTCTTTCTACAGCACAGTACACACGTAATTGGATGTTCCATTCTTCCTTGGAGAGTCACATCCATTCATCATATGTTACCTTGCAGAAAATTTTACTCTTAGCTGTTTAAAAATTTATAGAATTTTTTTATGCTGGACCAATATCTGTTTTGTACACATATATAATTCAGGGTTCGAATCGGAGCCAGTTTTTTCGGGATCTTCCTCTTCTTCTCATTGTGGAATTTATTGATATTTTATTGAACGCAATGTTACTTCTAATATTTTTAACGTGAAATTACTTTTGGACAAGTTTTAAATTATTTCACGTTCACATTGCGTTCAATAAAATAACAATGAATTTCACAATAAGAAGGAGAGGTTGATCCCGAAAAAACAGGCTCTGGTTCAAATATAATAAATTTGAATTGTAAAAAAGAATTAAATTTGAATTACCTTTTGTAAGAACGCACTTTCCATGTACAGGTTTTATACATAAGTTCAATGAATATTTTTTCACTTTTCACTGATTTCATCCTAACTTCTTCGATTAGCCTTTTTTTTATTGGATTATTACTTGCTTTCATCAATTAGTTTCTAATATGTAATGAAAACAAGAATGAATTAGAACCAAATATATAAGGAATAATAATCAAATTGAGGAAAAGTGATTGCAACAGAGCAAATACGTATGGAACTAATTTTTATTGAGCACATTTAATTGATAAAAAAAATGCACCTTCATTACAAAATGAAGAAAGACAATCAACATGCGTACAGATGAAAAGGACAAGAAATCTTGTCGGCGTGTGAAACGTGCCGGTTTCGGTGTATTCCATCTACAAAACCCTCTTTCGGCGTATTTCGTGTGATTGTCAATGTGTGCGACATGCAATAGTATGCACCACGCGGTATGTTGCTATTGCCGTAGCAATCGCATGGTGAATGGAAAATTAAAAAAAAATCTTTAGGGTACATGTGCAATAATAGCACTGACCAATTCAATATTTTCCATTCAAACTTCACACAGAAATCTTTTGATTGGTTGCAGCCGCTAAACGTAGTTTCGCATCTACTGGATCGAATTTTTCAATAGTCTCATGTGAGTGAGTGCCTTTTTATCCTACGATAAGAATACATGTATGCCTTGCATCCCGTCGGCAAAAGCCGAAACCTTATGCGAAGCTGAAAGAATGAAGTGAGATAAAAATAGGGATGTATAAACACAAAATTATTTTATGCAAATTTGCGTACGAAAGTTGGAAATATCGATTCTGTGCAGCATCCATATGCGCAAGTCCAACTGCGCTGCATCCAATGTGTTTTCACGATAATATATGATTTTGATAGTTTTATCTATTACACTTAGAGAATGTACTCTTTTTGCAACGATAAACGAGTGACATTCATTGAAGGCCCGTGATGCTCGTTTCACTTGAATTGATGATTGGTTTGTTATGTATAAGTCGTTAAACATTCATACATAAGGTTACACTAGGCCAACTTTATATAACGAAGCATTGAAATCTTTCAATTAACTCGATAATGCACGTTCCTTGTATCTTTCTTAATAATTAATTTTTGATTCAATTGCAGAAATAAATAAAATGGAAACAATAATTTTTTAAATTCGAAATTGTTTTATTCTATTAACGCACACTACACATCCAGCAATTTAAATTGTATTCTCTGAGTAGGTATATATATACTATATGAACTAGAATCGTAAACTGATGGAATCAACGCTGACACATAAGTGTGTTCAAACGATTGGTGCATATTTTTGGGAAAACATAAAACGTACATGTGCATATCATATACACAATCGGAATGGAATACACACTGCAGTGTAAGGATAACTGGAAATTGTATGTTCATTGTGTAAAATGCACAATTTGTGTCGGTGAGCATAAAATTGGGAATACAGATCTGTTATAGAAATAACGTATGGTATGGATCACGCAAGAATTGATCTATAGCCCGGATAATAATATAACAGTATGTCACTCGTATGTGTATATGCATGTAATAGTACGAAGACATAGAATGACAGTAAAGATAATTGGTATTAAGACATTTGTAATCGCACCTTCGACAGATACGGCACTCTAATGAACAGTTGTTTTACAAATAAACTATAGTCACTTAGGTATTTGCCACAACATAGTGAAGCGCAATGGTAATATATTCAGCAAATTCGAAACCGTTCAGAGTTCAGTTTGCATTGCTTTTGTCCCTATCGGAAGATCACTGACTTGAATTAAAAATGACGTTCAAACTGTCTTTTCTGACAAATGCCATTTCCAACATTTGGGTAAACCTTATGACGAAAGCATTTACTTATACTTCCAAATTATACCGTATATATGCCGTTAGAGCATTCATTGTTGAATATTTTCCATTTACAGCGCATTTTTTTGACACAAACGTAACGTTAAAAAATTGTTTCCTAAAAACGTTAAACGAATTTCCAATCAAAATGAGCGTAACATAAGTTGCAGTTGCTACCCCAATCAGTACGAGAGTCGCACAGAAAATAGCAATTTCCTCTATGAATTGTCAGGGGAGAGTTTTAATTGATAATAGAGACAACATTCTTTTGAATAAGTTTCTATTACCATTCAGAGAAAACTCAGATTTTTGGTTTTTCCGTAATATTCTTCGTGACCATTGAAAGAATATTGAATTGAATTTTATTGCAAAAGTCACTGATACATTTATTGGAAAAGACTAATTTCTTTTTTCGTGTCTTTGTGTTCAACAAAAATGTGTCTCATCTGATATTAAATTGTCACAAAAGCGATAAATAATTGCTTAAGAATGTCACGATTATTTTACCATAAAATTGTCACTGTAAACATTTTTTTCTGCGTTACAAATGTTTCGGCTCATTAAAAGAAAAAGTCAATGATTCCTCCTATAAATGTCGCCAAGTTAAAACTATGAAGAATTTTAATTACATATCTTCTTATAAGGCTCTAAACCCCTGCCATTCTGCGGCTTTTCAGCATTCCTGACAATTACTCAATGGGGCAGCGGACTGGTCTTCACACGTATAGATGTAGCATTTCACTCTATAGAGTAAATATATTTAACGATTCTTTAGTTGCCGAAACATCGATCTATGCAGTGCACTCGATATTTAACGTGAAATCCTAATATTCGGTAAGCCGAAGTATGATTTCGTTTGTGGCGCCGTTACATCTGCGCGTGTGACAATAAGTCCGCTGCTTCATTGAGTACTAGAAAATAGTCTCCATACAAAAATAAACGTTCTTTGAATGGTCGCGAAAATACGATATGTGCGGATTCGGACAGTACCTCTATGGCGCAGATTCATGTTACGTCTTTAGGACCCCTTTTTTCTACGTCCATTTCTTTCGTATATTGCTTCTTTGTTTCTTTTTTTAATAGAATATTAATTTATGATGCATTTTTCAGTTTAAAACTCCATGATTGATTTCTAAATCAACGTAGAAAAGTGGATTCCAACTCATGTTACGCTCGTGATGGTTGGAAATTCATGTAACATTTTAGAAACAATTTTTTTCATGTTACATTATTTCTATAACAGATATGTATTCCCATTTTTATGCTCATCGACACATTTGTACAATGTGCATTTATTGAATGAAAGTATCGACTGTTCGTAGTAGAGTAAAATTGAAGGTGTAAATTTATCTATGTATTATCTGGCCAACGTACATGTTTAGGTACAGTAATAAAAGCAGCACGCACCATTTTGGTTAAATCTTAACTGTCTTTTCTGCTCTGTTAGTGGGGACAGATTTATGGTATCTACTGGATATTGCATGCGTTTTTATTTCAAAGCGCAAATCGTATAAGTTATTCATTGACACCTAAGTGCGAACGTTACACAGTCAAAAATAAATGTACATATTTAGGCGGAATTTCAACTGGTAGAAGCGTCCAGTCCAATATTTTGCCTAGTAAATGGAGTTTCAGACAAAATACCGACTAGATTATAAGCGGAATGTCGCCTGTAGCTCAAATTACTAGCAATGAGTCTTTAGCTGAAAAAACGCCCAGATGTAGACTTTTATTTTTTGCTGTGTACGTCTTTTATAAGGCATGGTTCTCGTATTCAAGCCTTTCTCACGTCTTCTTCATAATTCCCGCACGAAAGACGTACGTCTTTCAGGCTTTATTTTTCCAAGTTCTTTTTTTTGTTCATTAGTTTAGCTAATTTGCTACTGCTTGTTAGTAACAAGTTGTTACTGCGGTCGCACATCTTCAAAGGGGTAATGTATTTGGTATACAATCTACCAAAGTTCCACTGACAAATAAATACTTCCGTTTATCCAATGATACACTACAGCCCTTTATGGTGTTAATTAGTCGGTCCTTGTGTAAAATCTTATTTGGATTTCTATTCCAATGAGATGAACTTTTGCTTGGAGTGGTGCATAAAAACGGAAAGCATTTATGCAGTATTATTGTGAGCAATTTTTAATAAAGACCAGGCCTGAATCGGTTTGAATAGTTAAATTGTGGTTTTTAACACTGAAGCATTGCTTGAAATTTCATTGCAAAACAGATATGAAATTTTCCTATCACACGTACTATAAAGAGATGCGAGTTTTTGACTTGAGGGTGCGTCTTCAAATGAAATTGACATTGACAGCTGAACGGTGCCGACTGTGTAACATGAGGCACTGGCATATAACATGTAATATACATATATGTTATTCCCTTTGCCCTTAATTTATGGTTTGTCTGTGGAAGTTGAATCGCTGCGAGTGTCAATTTCATAGCGTGTAGTATTTAGCCTTACGGATGATTCGACTGTCAAATGATTTTTTGGATGTGTTGAGTCGATGACACATTACGATGTTAATGCGCTAAAATTAGTTTTTTTTTTGTCGTATATTCGATCTACCTACATTTCTACAGCATTTCTTAGTGGCTTTTCGTATCAAACGACTGGTGCTCTGCTTTTTTCGAGTATCCAAATATATAAAACATTGACTTAGACTTCGATGACATAATCGAGAGCCAAACGTTTTGTTTGTATTTAATCAGGTTTTCAACGTCGTCATTATACGTGCGACGCGACCAGGTAAACATATTCATTAATTTCATCATTGGGAATTTTTTTGTTGTAATAATAAACATTTTTAATGTCATTCTCTCGTAAAACAAAATGCACAAAAAAAAAAATAAAAGAAAAGAAGAGAAGAGACACGCTGCAAACTGGAATTCAAACAAGAACTGATAGCTCAAAACGAAGAGAACGTAAAAAAGCGAACGACTGGGTTTTTCTGTATATCAAGCACTTCAACTGTGATGTGACTGAGGTTTGTTTAGTTTTGTTTCTTTAGTTTTTAAGAAGACAAAGGAATTATTAAAAATGGAGCCAATTTTTTTCATTTCATCAGAACTAGAAGTAAAAGTTTGGTTGTTTTTTGTATTCGAAACCAAAATGGCTGGTGACTACATTACAAAAGGGATTCTGTATGTGATTTCAGACATTCTAAGTTTGCTCACAGTTGCACTATGTTTAGTTCAAAAATTGCCCCAAATCCGCGAGATTTTCACATATAAATCGGCCAAAGGTATGTCGATTACACAGAGTTTATATAATAATATTTAATTTAACTTCGGCTTCAACTAATGTTATTTCATTTCATTGATAGGTATTAGCACAACATCATTGCTGCTGGAATTGTTTGGATACACCGTTATGATGCTCTATAACTACACGTATAGCTATTCTCTACTTTCCTATTTGGAATACCCCATTCTTCTTGTTCAAGAGTATGTTTTGGTTGCTCTTGTACTAAAGTATAAGCACATGCTCAATCAAAACAGTTTCACGGCCATCGGTGTATATTGGGTCGTTACCCTTTTGTTTGCATTTCAAATTTGCCCCCGATTTTTATTGTACATGGCTGTGGTAAGAATGAATCGACGCTCTAAGCGTACATATTTTTATTCATACTATTTTTGAATTCATATATTTTCTATTGGAATTTTAGCCATTTTGTACACCAATCGGGGCAACGAGTAAAATTCTTCAATTGCTAGAAATTCTTCGAACAAAAAATTCAGCAACTGTCAGTCTCACTTCCTGGTTTTTATCCGCATTCACCAATTTAAGTAAGAACCACTATTTCTCACACACAAAAAGTAAATTCAGTAAGCTAGCAATGTTTTTCGGTGACTACATACATTAGCATAGATTACTGAGAATCTACCACAGTGTATTTGTATAAATCGATGATGAAGTTATCACAGTTTGTTTGAAAGTTACCACAACGATAAGAGTATTTTTACATTTTGTGTGCTCTGACGCAAACTGTGATAATTCTATCATTAACCAAAATATGTATTGAACTTACACCATTTTCTTTCTGTGTGCACATAAAATATAGGTTTTATGAAATTGATTGACAATAACAAAAATTAACAATTTTTCTTAGCTCGGGTTTACACAACGGCCATCGAAACCGGTGATACGATGCTTCTGATTAACTTCACGATATCATTTGCACTCAGCATGTCAGTTTATTTGGCGGCGTTCTTCTACAAACCAAATCGGCCAAAAATATTTGCCCAGAAAAAGGTGTTCGTGATCAACAAAGATTAATAATTATAATTGGAGCTATGATAAATCATGTCATACATTTTTGAATTTTGTTTCGAATTAACATTTACAGAATTGTGTATAATTAAACTCAACTAGTCACTTACCTAACGTTATGATTTAGCAGCTCGTTGTATTTTTTAACTTTCTAGTATGGTTCATCATACCATTTTTCTATTACTTACGCTTCGTTACAAAAGAAATCTACTCTTGTAAATTGAACTAATTTAAACTCTTATGAAATTATATTCTTGATGAAGAACGAAATAAGCTGATATTAAAACATTTGCGAAGAAAAAAAAAACGAATATTTTATACATATACAAACGATATACGTTGTACATATATCCAATAATTTGTATTTCGTATTCTTTGTATTAATATATCTATGGGTGAGATTGAGAGCGGAATATGTTTTTTCTTCGATTTATATTTTTGAAAAGGCGAGTATGTTTTCTGATGATTCTGTTGGCGTTAAAGTAGAGTATGTTGTAGTACAGTCTAGCCTCCGCGGTCTTCATGGTTTTCGCGCAACTTATAAAAGATAACAACATGGTGTCTTCGACAAAGTTGTAGTACTCGAGGTCTTCTATAACTAAGCTTAAGACAGCTATCTCTTATCTCTTATCAGTTGCGCGCAAATCGCGCACATAAAAAAGCAAATTTTATATTGAACTTTTTTTTTCTAATCATTTTTCGCGCTTTTCGCGAAACTGATAAGAGATAAGAGATAGCTGACTTCAGCAATGTTATAGAAGACCTCGAGTGCTACAACTTTGTCGAAGACACCATGTTGTTATCTCATATCAGTTCCGCGGAAACCGTGAAAAACCGCGAGGACCCGCTAAAAACGAACATACTCGCTCTGAAACTTGCTCTTCTCTTTCGTAACAAAGTCAATGAAACATACACTACTCTCAATCTCACCTATAGATATGTACAGTGTTCATGAATGCATAGGAATATTCGTAAAATGCAAAATCAGTTGCCTAATACGTATGCATATCCTGTCATTTGATTCTTATCAATTTAATGTAGACAATCAACTTTTTCCGGTTTTTGTATGTCTTCTCATATGCGATACAAACGATGACATCTGGCTCAATCGTTTGAAGCAACCATCGATTGTACACTGAAATGGCTTTTCGCCCGTGTGTGTTTGCAAATGACGTCGATAACTATTACGATGCCGAAAAAATTTACCACAGTCTATGTATGTGCATTGAAACGGTTTTTCCCCAGTGTGAATTCGTTTATGATTTCGATATGTTACTAATTGTGCAAAGCCCCGTCCACACTCCTCACTAAAACCAATAAATACATATTTCATCAATGACAATGGCATTTTTTTATCTTAAACAAGCAAGTTTACGCTGTTGTTTACCATTTGTATGGTGTTTCTTTTGTGTGCACGCGCATATGGAGTTTCAGGTTAGTGGCTAGAGGAGAAAAAAGAAAACAACAAATATGTGTTATTTTGGTTTAATGGAAAAAAATCTTTGCTTTTATCTTATAACATGGATGCTTGCTTACCTTGTTTGAATTTTTTATCACAACCAAGTTCAGTGCATGGGAATTTGAACTCAGCACTGTGCGTCAGCATATGCGCTTTGTGAGTGCTAATTTGTGCAAAGGATTTACCACATTGTACGCATTGATATGGCCGCTCATTCGTGTGAATTCTAAATTATTATTTATTGAAAAATAGATTGTAGATTTAATTTGCATAGAAAATGCTGATCGGAAAAATGAATAGTATAAAATTCCATTTGGCAATGTTTTCTTGTATGAATCGAATGACGTTACCTCATATGTGCTTGATAAGTTCCAGAATGATTAAACTTTTTCGCACAAAATTTACAGGTGAATGGTTGCTCATTAGTATGCTCTCTCATATGAAACTTAAATGTTTTGGTATCGTAGAATGACTCTTCACATTTTAAATTGTTTTCGTAGATGAAATTACATTTGTATGGACGCTCAAGAGTATGTGATTTTCTGCAAAATTATTTGAATGGATAATGGTTTGATGGAATGGAGAGAAGTATGCTCAAAATATTTACCTAATATGTGCCTTATACGGCTGTAATTGGCTGAAGCTGCGATCGCAAAATTTACACTTATAAGGTTTTTCTCCAAAATGATATCTAAATAAAGTAAGAGAGATTTTATTTTGCATTTCAGATTGGATTTGCATACGATTTGCCTACCTAATATGTTCAGCCAAGAGACTACTGATTCGATATGCTTTAGAGCAAATAAAACACTCAAATGGCTTATCAATAGAATGCTTTGTACGCATGTGTTCGGTGAAGAATGGGGATTTTTCAAACTGAATATTACATATTTTGCAGTTTAGCAGCTTTTTATCGTACGCTTCATTGTGCACTACATCCTTTGGAATCTCATTTCTTCTACTATAGTTTCTTGTCTTTTTCTCTTCCAATCTTTCCATCTGGTAAACAAAGAACCACCGACAACAAAATATATGAAAAAAATATTTAATTTCATTAGGTTTAAAGCATACCACTTTCTCTTCCTTTGGCCATTTTTTCTTCGTCTTGAGCTGCTTTTTATTTTTTCGTGTGCTCACCGTCACAATTTCGTCTTTTTTTTGCTTATTTTTCAAGCGATCCTGCCTTTCCGTTTGAATATTTTCTCTTTGTAGAACATCTTTCTTGGTATCGATTTTTTGTTCAATTTTATTCGATATCATTTCATTGAGTTCTTGTGCATTGCCAGCTTTGAGAATTTCATCTGGCTTAGGTTTGAATTCAATGATTGGTATGTCTGAGGAATAATAGGAATCGTTGTTTTGGAAATTCTCTTGTCCCGTTGAATGATTGCTTTTTTCATTAGGTTCATCAATCTTTTCCACATGATACGAGGTATCGTCGCAAAAATAATCATAGTTTTCACAAGAAGAGTCTTGTTTTACAGTTTTTGGATGTTCTATGGTACTGTTTTCATCCTCAGATGAATGGTTTGTCATTTCGTCAGTACTCCAATGGAATTGGCTTTCCTCGTGCACAGTATCATTCAATTGCAATTTCGTATCTTCATTTATATCTTCATTTTCGAAATTGGTTTCCAATGGATCGTAAAAATCATTATCGTCATCAACTAAAACCAATTCCACTTCATCAAATTTTGGGTAAAATGAATCCATTTTTGCGTGGTCAACTTTCTTTTGGCTCCAATTATTTCCTTTATTAGTTTTAGCTGCGAAAAGTGTTGAAGCTATTGGGAACACTTTTATTTACCTCAAATTTTCACATCAATAATAGTCAAAAACTCTTTTCAAAATTCTGCAAAGAAACAACATTCAAACGCTTGTTTTTTTTTTGAGAAGTTAAATGTTTGAAAAATCACTAATTTTTAAGCAATCATTGGCATGAATTTTGTGTTTTTATGTCATCAAAATTTTGTATTGATGAACGCACCCCGAATTGAAAAAAGTAAACTATGAAGTTGCTTCTCCCCTCATTCTGGTTTGACATTTCGTTTTGAAGATGTTCAGTATTTGCACGTGCTATTGAATTTCTAATACATATTTCATTTCTGCCAGTTTGATTACTTATTATTATTTGAAAATAAGCCAATATCATTTATTGGACAACAATCACAATTGAAAAAATGACTTTTTATAGTAACGTTAAGCAAAAGTCATACGTTCTGAATCCAAGAGGCAAACCATTATATGAAGGTAGGTGTATTGAGCACAATTGAATTGTGGTTGTAATGTAAAGGCAAAGAATTAACCATTTGATTAATTTAAATGTAGATGCAAATCGATTTGGCACAAAAATGTTGGAGAAAATGGGCTGGTCCAAAGGCAAGGGGCTTGGTATTAACGAAGACGGTGAACAAAATTTCATTCGGGTTGCACATAAAACCGATCAACAGGGGATGGGATATCAAGAGCGAGATGATCAATGGACAGGCCACGAAAATCAATTCAATTCGTTGCTCAAATCTTTAGATAATTCCTCAAATGTGTCGATGGATGGAGGTGGACATAAAGAGGCAAATCAAGCCACACCAACCATTGGATTGGGTTTTGGTACGGCAGATAAAAACATAAAAAAATTAAAGTCAGTCAAATTGGAGCTTAGCGGCAAATCATTGGAGGAAATGTCGAAAAATTCTGGTGTTAGAGTTCATTACAGAAAATTCACACGCAGCAAAGATATATCAAAATATACTGAAAAAGATTTGGCAAATATTTTTGGAAAGAAATGTGTAGATGGCCATAAAATAGAAGCTGAAGTAAAGCAAGTTGAGCCAGTGTCGGATTTATCTCAGTCTAGCTATGAAATATCAACAATTGAAACGGGTACAACAATTCAAGAATACTTTAAAAAGGAGAAAAACAAGCCTTCAAAACGCAGAAAGGAAAAATTAGACAAATCGAATGAAGAGCAAGTATCAAACGTTGAACAATCGGAAAAGAAGCGACAGAAAAAGGACAAGCAATTTAAACTGGGTATGACTGTGCCAGAAGATGTAGAGGAACATGAACCGTCACGGCTAAAAGAGGAAAATAAAAAAAAGAAATCCGTACCAATAAGTAACACCGAATTTATCAATGGTATATTAAGTACTTTAGTCAGAAGTAATAATTCTGGGCATTCCTCAACAGCGTTAGAGCGATCGAATGCTGAAGACAGCGATGGAGAAATGAAACCAGCATTTAAAACAAATCCAAATATAACTATGAATGAAGTGTTCGAAATCAATCGGTATCATGCAGAAATGTTTCGTTTTGTTGACTTGGATGGATTCCCGAATGCAAATCTCAGTGACTTGAGTGGTTATGGATATAATAAAGAATTCGAACTCAAAGTATCCGAAAAATCAAAAGATCAAAATAAAATAAATGATTTGTGGGATTATGCACTTATTAATAAGTATGGAAAGGAAGTGATTCAGACGAAAAAGGCAAAGCGATATTCCATAAAACATCTGAAGAAAAAGAATGTCTTTATGAAATTGTAATCATTGTACTCATAAAACGCAAATAAAACACGGATCATTTCAGTTCAATTTTAAACAACATTTGATTTAACTCAGTTCATATTGTTGTTGCTTAATAGGCTTTTGTTCTCTCTTCCGTTCTCGTTAAAGCAATATAATTTATAAAAATCTGATCAAAACTTAGAATCTAAGAACTACACAATATTTTTTTTTTTTCTTTCAAAAATCTTCCATCCTAATTGGATTGTTGTGCCCGCCGTAGTGCCAATCGCCTAGATCGCCGCGGTGGAGGTGCAGTTGAGTCAGCATTTTCGTCATCATTTGCTAATGGATCGTCTTGATTGGCTTCTTTGAGCGATCGTTTTAACTGGATTTTCTTTCTTTGTCCGCGCCAATTCAAATTCACATTATAGTCCCAAGAACTGGTCAAAATTTCATTTCGACTTGGATGCCACGCAACATCACGTACAATATCCTTATGTCCTCGAACGGAATGCACCATCTTACCGGTCAATACATCATAAACTGAAAATAAGAAGCGTAGAGAATTACATTTTGGTTTTTGTTTTGTTTTTCAATGGGTTTCTTTTGAGTGACATACTTATGAGTCGTCCGGTTCCACAGCCAGTGTAGATATACCTTTGACCAGTTGTCTCTTGAGGTGAGAATTTTGCTCTGATTAATGTTTTCTTGACGCGATGGCCTCGATATGTCATTATACTAGAGTCATCTGATAAGGTTACTGTGTCGGTGTAGACTGGATAAAACAATGAAAATAATGATTATTTTGATTTTTAAATGGATTGAAGAAATTTTGGATAGGTGGTTTACATTCTTTGGGCACCGTATCCCATCTATAGTCCCATCGGTTGTAATAACGTGTGCGTCGTCGTGATGATGATTGATTGGCAAGACCGGGTGAGAACATTCGCATGTCCCATAATTTTATGCTTTGATCTTTTGAATTTGATATCAAGTATCTGGCATCATTCTTTGAATCTATATACGTGATTCCATCCAGATGACCCGAAAAAACACCCACTTCCTTTGGATTTGTTTCATTCAAACATCGGCGATCCCAAATCTAGAACATTTATATATTTTGATTATTCTTCATGTGACATTTAATAAAGAAATCAGAGCGTGTAATAATAAAATTTGTGAATATGTCAATATTATTATATTATAACAAAAATTACTACACAAAGAGAAGAATCCCCGGAAATGTGATGTGTTCGCCGTAAAATTTGACATTTATATCAAGATCGCTTAATAGACGAAGAAAAACGACACGCAGCCCTCTGGGCGAGGGACATTCAAAACAGTCATCGTACATATATTGAGCGGGCACTATCGATGCGTTAATTTGTGTGAATGCATTGTGTAAACGACAATGTTTGTGTTCAATATGTGTACGATGAAAGCTTCGAGCATTTCACGCGTAGAGGCGTCTTGGCGTCTCACGTCAAATCTTACCCATGTATTTGTATACAAAGAAAGCGACCTTGTTTATATATAGATTTCTATATAAATTTTACCGGCAACACTTCATTTTTCCGGGTGATGACATAATTTCAAAAAATTAAAAATGGAAAATAATATGGGTTTTGACCATTTCTATATAGCTTCAGTTTTTCCTACGTTTTTTCTATGTTTCTCACCTTAATTATACCATTATCCGAACCACTAAATATTATGTTCGATGTTTCATCGATAAATCCAACGGCATTTACATCTAAAGCATCTTGTTCAAACTGAATAGAAAAATATACCGGATTTTTAATAATCGTTATCGTTGTATATGGTGGCCTAGAATAACTGTCGGTTTTATTTTTAAGCGTAATTCAATACATTCCCCAATATAATTTTCTTTGCATTTAATAGATGTGGTGAAAAAATATTAATTCCAGCCGTTAGATTTTAACCTTTATATGATCCTTAAATAGAATAACGTTTCTTACCCTAGTTGATATGCTGTATAACGCAATATATTCCTTTTTGAAAATATATGTATAAATTATATGTGTCTTTGGGAAAATTGTAGTTCATATGGGATAAGGATTCTAAGAAGTTTTTTTTTATCATAATCTGATGATTGGATAAAATTATTATTGTTTTTTCTGTTCTATTTTCTCGGTATTTGTGCGCTTTTGATGTTTAACCATTTGTTTTTTAAAATTAATATGGTTGGAAATATGAGCATAAATATGAGAAACAATATAATGCTGTTCTCATTCGCATTTCGTCGTGTTCTTTGGATTTCTAGCAACTGTAGTTCTGTATGTTTTAGTCAGGACAAACATCCATCTTGATACCATGCTCTCAACTTATTCAATGAAATGCAATTGGAGAGAGATCCCCATGATACCAAAAAGAGAGAGAGGTAAAGATAGCACCCACTGCAGAAAAGAAAAATACTGTTGTAGTAAATTCTGACTGACTTTAGTTGATTGAATTTATGGTTTGTACTGAGAAAATCACTTTGTCCCAAATTAAGTAACTTGCATTGACTTGTAACTTCAAATGATTTCAGTTAACTATGAATCATAGTCTATGATAGACTTACACTACACTTTGTACTCAAATGTCAATCAAAGTACGTCATTTTTGTCTGAAATCAGTCAACTTACTGGTTAGTTACAATGTTTGTACACGGGTACTCATTTATGTTTTGTATAAAGGTCAAAACTGCTGGTTATGAGCGTTCTTATTTAACCGTCAACTGCATAAGCCCGCCTTTTGGCGGGCATCATTTAAACACCTGTATAATGTGAATCGTACGGCGGATGACATTGCTTCAAGGGGAATTTTTATTTGTCAATGTTTTTTCTTTATTTTTGTCTTTGGCGTCATTTGTCTATGTCGTACGATTGGTGAGTTATAAACAAAAATGTGCACGAAAACGAAAATTTGACAAAATAAATTATTCGGTTTCCAAATTAGACATATTTTTGACACTTTTAAACAATGGATTTCATTGTTCTCTGACTTATTTCTATCGCATTTCCTGACTAAACCATGGGAAATCTAGGATTATGAATATTTTTTTCGTTATCTATGGCCAAAAATCAACCAAATACCAGTACTCCCAGTCCTAGGAAAAATTCATGCAGTTGAGGGTTAACGAATGGATATGAATGGCTGAGAATGAAAAGAACACATAGATATAGGGAATATGTTTGAATGAAACATTATGTAAGATAAATTTCAAAAGGAAACACTTCGATCGTCAATTTGTTTTTGTTTTTTTTTTTAGTCGTAAGTGATTTCGACATATTGTGAAATATTGCGATATCACACCAATTAGTACTGAATATTGCCGTCATTAATGCACTTCGTATACAATAATGCGACATTATAACGGTGTGATAAAAACTGCCTTTTGAAAACAAAAACATTGATGCAACATCATTACGATACATTAAATGTACTAACTTCGTTTTTTTTTCAGTGAATACATACAGCTAACATAATATCTGTTCCTAAGCGTTATCTCCTGAATGGCTGTAGCTATTTTGAATTTTTGACTCATTTTCCAAGAAAAATTTGTGGCCTCTTTAAATTTTTGGTAAGTATTTCAATACTTTTCATAAAAAATCCATCACAAATTCAAAGAGGCTACGAATTTTTTCGGGAAATGAGTCACAAATTCGAAATAGCTGCAGCTAATTAGGAGATAATGCTTAGGAACAGATATTATGTTATCTGTATGTATTCACTGTTTTTTTTTCTCGGGGTTCAAAACTTTGAATTTTTTTATTCCAAAACAGATTCTGTTTTTATATTTAACTATTATGTGTGACTAACTACAAATTTACTCTACACGTAGCGTAGTGCGAGAATGTTTACCGAGCGAAGCGTGGAAATTATAAGTAAAAAACTTCTTTTTCTGACATAAATAACAATTTTTAATTGCAAATGTTTCCGAGACGAACTCATCTCATTGTTAGGCACAACATAACTGACAAAATATCGTAAATACAAAAGATGAGACGAGTTCGTCTCGAAAACGTTTGAAATTAAAAATTATTATTTCATGTCAGAAAAAGAAGTTTTTTACTTATCATTTCGATTTTAAACTGGCAAAGTACGTAAAATAAATTTACATGGTATATTATTTGTTGTATATACCAGTATAACTCTCAACACTGTTAGATAAGGGAGTGTATTCAGCGGAGTCAATTTCTTGAATTTTTCGTGGAATTGGATTAGAATCAGTATTAAAGATGGAAACTTAATGTAAAAACGTTTCCAAATAGTCAAAAACAAATTAAAACAATTGACAGCCAAAGAACAAAATAACAACTTCTAAACTCTTTGCCGATAAATGAAACGAAAAAAAAAACTTGGAGCAAAAAAGAAACAAATGAAGTTGCGAGCAAAAGCGACACAAGTAGCCATTGAGCGGACAAAAAACATTTTTCTCTTTTTTTCTCGCTACTGGTCGCAGAATCGCGTTTTATTTTGATTTGTTAGGGATCCGCAATCGGCCGCGAAAATGATCCACAGACAGTTCTTATAAAGAATTATATATACTCTTCTCAGAATTAGATTCACTAAAAACGTGAATAATATTGTACCATGCCGTAGTGTCGAGGCAGATATAGCAATATAGAATATTCGTGTGTTCAATGAGTCAATGGTAAAATTTAGGACAAATATTTCTCAAGAAGTTTGCATGCCGCGAGTGACATTTTTCGACTCATCTATGGCTCTAACTTAACCAAAATCATAGAAAAACGAAATCTGAAAATCAGCTGGAAAAGATAGATATTTAGAACGCATCCACCAATGCCAAAATACCCACTAAGTTGTTTGGAAAATGTAACTCGATAGTTTATCTGGGCCACTCTGTTCTTTCGTCAATGGACATTGTTGATTTGAACGAAAAAATGAAAACAAAAAACTTACCGGACATCGGAATGTTCGTTTACCCAACAATAAATCATATATATATAAACAACCATCACTACCACCACCGATAATTTGATCACCGCAATTCGAGAAAGCCAGTGAAAAGACGCAAAAACTGGATTTTGATGGTTGTAAATATAAAGGTTTTAGCTGATGTGACGT